TCCTGTTGTCTTCTTAAGTAAAACGTGCCAAGTTTTATTAATCAGAACCAGATCAGCTAATCAAGTGTACGATGTTTTGATGTTAAGTTTTGATTCTGTTCGATAAATGACCACATTTATTCTGATGGGTCAAAGGAAATTAACGTCTCATGTCACTGATTTAAACAATCATCACAGTTATCTCGTCACATGGTAGTAATTTAACTCGAAAAAGAGAGAACCCGTTATATTTAATTAATTAGTAATAGAGGTGCAGCTAAGCTGGCCCTTGTCACACTACACATCTCACCTCAAGTCCATCACCAACCCCCTCCTGGACCCCCTGCAGTTTGCCTACAGGGCCAACAGGTCTGTAGATGACGCAATAAACCTGGCTCTTCACTTCATCCTGAAGCACCTGGACTCCCCAGGAACCTACGCCAGGATCCTGTTCATGGACTTCAGCTCCGCATTTAACACTATCCTCCCTGCTCTGCTCCAAGACAAGCTCTCCCTGCTCCATGTACCTGACCCCACCTGCAGGTGGATCACAGATTTCCTGACAGACCGGAGTCAGTGCGTGCGGCTGGGGAGAGCTGTCTCGGACACTCGGATTGTAAGCACAGGATCCCCACAGGGATGTGTGCTTTCCCCCCTGCTTTTCTCCCTGTACACCAACTGCTGCACCTCCAGCCATGACTCTGTGAAACTTATTAAGTTTGCAGATGGTACCACCCTCATCGGGCTCATCTCGGACAGTGATGAGTCTGCATACAGGAAGGAGGTGGACCGGCTGGTGACCTGGTGCAGCAGCAACAACCTGGAACTGTCAATGACAGTGGAGATGATTGTGGATTTCAGGAAAGCCACAGCCCCTCTGCTCCCCCCCCCCCCTCACCTGTAATGATACCCCCATCACCACTGCAAACTCTTATCAGTGCCTTGGCACCACCATCACCCAGGACCTCAAGTGGGAGCCAACCATCAGCTCCCTCATCAAGAAGGCCCAGCAGAGACTGTACTTCCTGCGACATCTGAAGAAGGCAAAGCTGCAAGCCAAGCTGATGGTGCAGTTCTACACAGCCATCATCGAGTCCATCCTCAGCTCCTCCATCATGGTGTGGTACGCCGGGGCCACTGCCAGGGACAGACTGAGACTGCAGCGCGTTGTGCGCTCAGCTGAGAAGGTGATCGGCTGCAGCCTTCCATCTCTCCACGACCTGTATGTCTCCAGGACTGTGAGGCGAGCAGGTCGAATCACAGCTGACCCTGCTCACCCTGCACACGGTCTGTTCAAACCACTCCCTTCAGGCAGGAGGCTTCGGTCCATTCGGACCAGAATCTCCCGCCATAAGAACAGTTTCTTCCCCTCTGCTGTTGGACTCCTGAACACTCATATTGCTACCTCATAATTTCTGCTTTGGTCACATTACATCTGTATAATAATTGAATACTCCATCTGTACTGTTTTCTAAGCTTTTTTATTGTTTTCTATTGTATGGGTGTACACATGTTTATGTTATGTTTTCATTTTTACTTTATTTGTGGGTGTACACAGGTCTTATGTCTTATGTAATGTTTTCATTTTTACTTTATTTTACTTTATTGCTATTTCGCACCTTATGTCAAAGCAAATTCCTAGTTTGTGAACCTCGTTCATTGACATGGCAATAATAAAATGATTCTGATTCTATACCATAGGTCAGAACTATATCAAGAGTGTGATGATAAGAATGAGTAGATGTGCGGACGTTTTGGGTAAAACCAAATGAGTCTATTAAATTATTAAAGGCTATGCTTAAGCTATCACTTTCAACATCTACATGAATATTGAAATCACCCATTATGATGATTTTATCAGTATTTAATAATAAGTCAGTTAATAATTCTGAGAATTCAGACAAAAACTGAGAGTAAGCGCCTGGTGGACGATATATAACAACTAGTAAAAGTGACATTTCTGACTTACATTTTGATGAGAAAGACTGAGAGACAGCAATTCAAAAGAATCATAACTAATAACTGGTTTGGCATTAATCAATAATCCTGACTGAAAAATAAAAGCTACTCCTCCACCTCGGCCAGTTGTTCTAGGAACATGAAAATGTAAATAATTAACAGGAGTGGATTCATTTATACTAACAAAATCCTCCTGTTGTAGCCAAGTTTCTGTCAGACAGAATAAATAAATATGATGATCAGTTATCAGTTCATTAACTGACAGGGATTTAGAGGAAAGCGATCTGATGTTCAATAATCCACATTTAATGATTTTATGATTTTGCTCTGGTAAAGTATCTGTGTTTATTTTAATCAGATTTTTATGGTTTATATTTTTAGAGCCGATTTTTGGTTTATTTAATTTGAGCCGTGGGCGAGTTGACACTGTTTCAATGGGGGTGTGGGTGGGTAACAGAGGAGAAGCAGCAGAGGGGTGTGGAGGACTACAACTCTGCTTCCTAGACTGGACCCTGGGTTGTCAATAATTTGGGGGATAAACAAAATCAGCCATATTTCTAGAAAGAAGAGCGGCTCCGTCCAAAGTGGGATGATGCCATCTCTCCGCATCAGACCAGGTTTTCCCCAGAAAGAACTCCAGTTATCTATGTAGCCCACATTGTTGTCAGAACACCACCTGGACACCCAGTGGTTAAACAACGGCATACGGCTAAACATGTCATTGCTAGTCAGGTTGGGGAGGGGGCCGGAGAAAACTACGGAGTCCAACATGGTTTTAGCAAAGTCACACACCGAAGCAACATTAATTTTAGTGACCTCCGATTGGCGTAACCGGGTGTCATTACTGCCAACGTGAATACCCATCTTACCGTATTTAGCCTTAGCCTTAGTCAGCAGTTTCAAATAATATTCTATGTCCCCTGCTCTGGCCCCCGGAATGCATTTGACTATCGCCGCTGGAGTCCCTAAAGCCATGTTTTGGACTATGGAGCTTCCAATAACCAGGGTCTGCTTCTCAGCGGGTGTGTCACTGAGCGAGGAAAATTGATTAGAAATGTGAACGGGTCGGTGGTGAACTGGGGGATTAGCCTTAGCACTACGCTTGCTCCGGACCGTCACCCAGCCGGCCTGGGGTCCCGGCTGCTCAGGGTCTGCTGGAGAACCGCTAACGGGAGCTAGCCTCTGTGGTTCTGCGCTGTCTAAGGGGACCTGGCTAGCTGCTGGTTTTTCTACAGTGCAGAGCCGAGCTTCTAGTTCAGACAGCCTCTCCTCCTAATCTACCATAAGACTACATTTGTTACATGTATCATTATCACTAAAGGAGGCAGAGGAGTAACTAAACATCTGACACATGGAGCAAGAGAAAACAGAGGAAGCAGGGGGAGAAGTAGCAGCCATGCTAAGCTAACGCTAGCAGGAGCTAGCAGAGCCAAATACACCAATAAAAACCGAAAAGTGTTGAAAGATAAGAGGTGTTTTAAGCACTATCCAACAGTAGAAAAACAACTGTACTAAGTGTGTTTGTGAACTAGAATGAAAAACTGTGCAAAAGACAGATAAATCCAGAAAACAGAGACGACTCGAGCAAACAATTCACTCGAGCTACCGACAGACAAACAGGAAATGACACAATACGTCTCACCACGAACGTGCAACGTCACACCTCAAGGAGGCATTCCTCAGATCAGAGAATCACTTAACTTAATCACATAAGAAAAAACACTACTCACCAGTGTTGAATCACACACATAGTAGTCAGACGCTGTAAGTTGGGAGATGCGGAAACCACCGTAGTCCCCAATGAATCAGCAGAAAATACCTTTGAACAGGGTTAAACCATCGCAGCCCCTAGGAGGGCGAACACACTACTCCCGCCGATGGGAATTGAATTGAATTTAATTTAATTTAATTGAACCACGTGCGAGAAGAAAAAAGGAGCAGAGCTGCGGATGACGTCGGGCTATATAGCCTCTGATTGGTCATCCGTGTCACACCTGTGACTCCGATGGTATTATTACTCGAACATCGGATGCGCGAAGGGAACATTCAGTGCTTTCAGCACCGCCCTCTGGCAGTCTGGAGGGATGAAATAGAACTGCTATTAGGAACAACAACTTGGCAGAAACAGAGGCAGAACAACTCAGAATGAAAATATCAGCAACCCTTTCCAGTGCCAAACTGCCTGCTTCAAATCTCACAACACAGGAAAGGAAAGCTATAACATCACTCAGCCAGGACCAAAACATCACCATTTTACTAGCTAACAAAGGAAGATGCACAGTAGTTCTCAACACTTCTGATTACTATGAAAATATATATATTACTGAGCGACAGTATCACCTATGAGATCCTGAAGAGGGATCCAACCAGCACCTACAAAAGGTCATGGACTACCTGCAAAAACTTGAAAAGAAGAAAGCAATCAATTGATCATTGTACTATAGATTGTACCCAGGGGAAGCCACTCCATGTCTTTATAGACTTCCAAAAATACACAAAGAAGGAACACCACTCATATCCTCGTTAACAGCATGAACTCAGTGACATATAATATTGCAACACATCTGGCTGGTATTTTAGCCCCTCAGGTTGGAAACACATCTCATCACATAGAGAACTCCACTGATTTTGCCAACAAAATTAACATTTGAAACTAGCCCCAGGAGAAACCCTTGTTTCGTATAATGTGACTTCTCTTTTCACATGCATATCCATTTATAAAGCAGTAGAAACTATCAGAAAATGACTCTTACAAGACAGTTACTTAAACAACAGGACCATCTTCACCCCAGACCAGATCTGCACCCTGCTGGACCTCTGCCTTTCCACCACTTATTTCAAATATAATGACAGTTTTTACTGAAATGCTTTCATATGAATGTTTTTTGTTGTGTGTACCTCATTTGTATTTTTGGTTTAAAACAGGTCTCTATTGTAAATGAGTCTTAGTGACTCATTGAGACTAACTTGTATAAATAAAGCTTGAATGAATGAAGGAAAAAAATTATTAGATACAATAATCCTTTATAATTTGGGTTATCAGTATTTTTATATGTCTCCAGGCAAAGCATCAGAGGTTAAATGAGGATCACTCATCTGTCAACAGCACATTGGAAACAGGCAGAAGTTTTGTCTCTGAAGTTGAGAAGACAGTGGCTCAGGTGGATGAGCTGGTGAAGGTGAGGTCTAAATGACATAAATTAAAGTCTTTTCACATGATAATGGGGTTTTATATGGCAATGTATTGAATTCAGCTACTGTATGAGTTGTATCTTAATGCTGAGAATGTAGAGAGTTTCTCTAAGTGGTTCTCTCAAACATCTATTTATTTCTCTAGGATGTCTTTAGTAGTGGATGTACAGTATATCTGAGTGTAGATGAGATCATTCTTTGAGCCTTGACTTTGCCTCAACCAACAGAAAATTTATAATTCATGACATGTAAAATATCAGCGCAAGTCCTCACAATGTCTGCACAAAATTCAGGAGAAATGCTGATGGTATGCATATATTTGTTTCTTCATCATCTGTGTGCAGAACATGACAGAGTACCATGCTGCCATTGATGGTGCCAGTCAGAAGCTGACAGAAAGGTCGGAGCGCCTCTCACTGGCAGACAGAGATCTGGTTCAGAGGGCCGATTATCATGCTGCAGAGCTGGACCGGCAGGCCAATGAGCTGGAGGAGTGAGAAACCTTCCTGAAATCAAAGCTGTATGATTCCTTGAAGGAATGCATATCGCCCACCACCTTTCATGTCAGCGTTTTAACCTTTGATCATCTTATGATGAGAATAAATGAAGTTGTACACAGTTAGGTCAAACTTTGATCGTGACGCTCAGTACTTTTAGCTATTATCTGTAAAATTAACTGAAGTGTAGCTTTTTTGTTTCAGCTAATGTACATTATTTGTGGTGGCCATCTTGAATCAAGTTGACTCCCAAAGGTAATTAGTTGTAGGCGTACTTCCAAGGGTTTCTTTCTAAAAACTTCATGAATCAACCCAGTGTTTCATAAAATGTTTTGCCATTTTTGTTTTGCCATTTGTTTTAGACAAACAGGTTTTTGTACCTCAACAAGTGTAAAATGTACCAAACTTACCAAACCAGTTCATGATAGCCACCACGGCCAACTGACCTTAAAAAAAAAAACACAAAATTACTGTCAGTCAGCTTCACAGATATTGAGCTAAAGTTTGGTCTAATTGTAGCAATACAATCCAAAAGCTACTTGGTCTGCAAGATCTTTGCCTTAAACTTTACTGTTGGAGTCAACCTTATTTTTATTTGATATATA